TTAAATAAATAAATAAAAATAATAATAATTATCGTTCGTTCAGCGCCGATCTAGTCATCAAGATGAACGATCTGGAGGAGCAGGAGAATCGCAATCGGAAACGGCAGTCGCTGAAGGCGGCCGTCTTCTCTGCGATCTTCCTGTGGAGTCTCGTCACTCTCTGCATCACCCAGCTGCGTCTGCTGTTCTTCATCGGAGCCCTAGAACAGATCCTCATGAAAGTGTCGGGCGGAGACAGAGAGCAAGGTGCGTGTGTGTCTGTACGTGTCTATACGCTGGTGGTGGGGCAGGGGGTGTGTGGTGGTGGGGCAGGGGGTGTGAGAGAGGCCAGCTAGGTATAGGCACAAGAAGCATGACTGTGACGAAATTTGTGGATTGTGAAACTTGGCTTTTAGGTATATGACCGATTGAGACACATGCTTTGAGAACGGAAAAGGGAGTAGATGAGAAGAAAGAAAGTAGAAAAATTCTTGAATAGAATGTGTTTTCTCTTTAGAAACGTGTCTGAGCACTGTCATGTCATACCACCGCAGAACTGAACTTGCGTTTTTTGACTTTGCAGTTGAGTTGTACACGTACTTCTTTGGAATGATGCAGCTCGGATGTTTCATTGCTGCTCCACTGATTGGTATTCTCATGGACTGGAAGACAAAGGAGAAGTTTGTCGAGCGCAATATCGAAGCCAATAAGGAAGGTGAGGTCCTGTTTTGAATGATATACGACCTGGTACCGTATAGTCGATGTTTCTTTTCTCTGAAAGTCTGTGTTGTAGACTGATTGTTGAAGTCTGTGTTGATACGGCCAACTCGGTCATGCGACATTTCTTCCAATTGTCGCAGAATACGGTAACGATTGCGATCGCTATTGGATATAATGTTACATACGTGCCACAAATTACGAGTGAGTGTAGGAAATATTTTCGTTTCAAAATCGCATTTGTTTTCAAAGCATGTTGATGGTTTGAGCTCTCTCTGACTGTGCATATTTCTTCAACAGGGAACGACACTGAGCGAAGTTCATTCAGTTCTACTCGATCCACCGAATCGTGTCGTTCGGTGAAGATCGACGTGAAGGTCCGGCAACTACGTAACGCGATGTACGCCTTTTTCATCACAAACAGCATTACGATGATATTTGGCAGCATCGTCCTGGTTCCCGACTTACCTTTGCAGGTACGTATGATTGGCACGGCTCAATTTGCGCAAGTTTGCTGGTCGATTCATACGAAAACATTAGGTTTTGGCATCATTTTCATCTCAAATACTTGTCCTGTCTTGGTATTAGTAGTAGCAGTTTCCTACCCAGATATAGCTTTTCTGCGCCAACCTTCATCGAACACAAATAGTTTTTGCTGAGTCATCGTGGGTCCCACCTATATATACCCAGCAAAATCTGCCCAGTTACTCGAGTCATAGAAGTCGGCATCGTGCGATGTAAACACTATAAATCTCCGTTGTGCTCACTGAACTAGTGCTATAAAAGGATTTATGCCGTGCAGTGGGGCAGAAAAAACGTGTATATGGCTACATCCTACTTGACGTCGATACTAGCGACCGAGAGAGCAAATATCTTTTGCGGAGATCCGCAATCCAAGGCTTTACTGGGATCAAGTAATGTATTCGTGTATCTGAGGAAATTTGCGAGGATGTTTCGGTCAACGGCCTACGAGTCGAAGTTAATGTTAAGACTAATGTTAAGACTAATTTTGTTTCTGACAACGGGCCCCAAGGCTTTACAGCCCAGCATTCTAAACCTGAGCCTCACAGAACTCAGTACCGGCCCCCCTTCAGAGGTTCCCATGAGAGAGTCTCCCTCGCTTCATCGTTACAATTCAAGCACAGCAGCCAGGTTCTACCACACTACAAACCCAGATTACAAACCCAGATTACAAACCCTCTCGAGCAGGGTATTAGCCAGGAATGAGTATTGTGGGAGTGCAGAAAAAATATTTGGGAGTGCAATTTTTTTGTATGTGTGTCTCAGCCGTAATATTTTAGGCCGTGCTACACATTTTTGGCCGTGCAGTTTCAAAACTGACCGTGCAAATCACGGCTGCACGGCTCGCTATCTAATACATTGCTCTCGAGCCTCACAGAACAGAACAGCCTCACAGAACTCATTACGAGACCCTCGCTTCATCGCTGCAGGTCGTCGCGTTCCTGTGCCACACGATCATCCGCGGCTTCGTGCACTCGGCCGTCGGCGGACTCTACGCGATCGCCTTCCACTTCAAGCACTACGGCAGCCTCGTGGGCCTCGAGTCGCTTGCCACGGCCCTCTTCAGCCTCCTACAGTACCCCCTCTTCATCCTCGTCGAGGGCCAACTGAAACACGACCCGTTCTGGGTGAGTCGACCTCGGGATGACCCCACAGGTCAACGACAAC